GTTGAAGCCCCACGAGAAGAACTACCATGTTCATGATTTAGAGTTGGCTGCCATAGTTCATGCTTTGAAGATTTGGAGGTACTACTTGTTTGGTGTATCTTGTGAGGTATTTACCGATCATCGCAGTCTTCAGCATCTATTCAAGCAAAAGGATCTTAATTTGAGGCTGCGGAGGTGGCTAGAGTTACTCAAGGATTATGATATTACCATCCTGTATCACCCAGGGAAGGCCAATGTAGTGGCCAATGCTTTGAGCCGAAAGGCGGTTAGTATGGGGAGTTTGGCGTACATTCTAGTTGGGGAGAGGCCTTTTGCAGTTGATGTCCGGGCTTTGGCCAATCGGATGGTGAGGTTAGATATTTCTGAGCCTAGTCGGGTGTTGGCTTGTGTTATTTCTCGGTCTTCCTTGTATGACCGCATCAGAGAGCGCCAGTATGATGATCCGCATTTGCTTGTCCTTAAGGACAGGGTTCAGCATGATGATGCCAGGGATGTGACCATTGATAGTGATGGCGTGTTGAGGATGCAGAGCCGGATTTGCGTGCCCAATGTGGATGGGCTTCGGGATTTGATATTGGAGGAGGCCCACAGCTCGTGGTATTCCATCCATCTAGGTGCCGCGAAGATGTATCAGGATTTGAGGCAGCACTACTGGTGGAGGAGGATGAAGAAGGATATAGTGGGGTTTGTAGCTTGGTGTCTCAACTGTCAGCAGGTTAAGTACGAGCATCAGAGGCTGGGCGGTGTACTTCAGCGGATGATTAACCCGAGTGGAAGTGGGAGAGGATTACTATGGATTTTGTGAGTGGTCTCCCTCGGACTTTGAAGAAGTTCGATTCGATTTGGGTGATTGTGGATCGGCTGACCAAGTCCGCGCACTTCATTCCAGTATGTACTACTTATTCTTCGGAGCGGCTGGCAGGGATCTTTATCCGGGAGATTGTCCGATTGCATGGGGTTCCAGTATCTATTATCTCAGATAGGGGTACTCAGTTCACTTCTCAATTCTGGAAGACCTTTCAGCGAGAGTTGGGTACACAGGTGGAGTTGAGCACAGCGTTTCATCCTCAGACGGACGGACAGTCCGAGCGTACATGTAGCGTGCCTGTGTTATTGACTTTGGAGGTTCTTGGGATGGGTTTTTGCCGCTTGCAGAGTTTGCCTACAACAGCAGTTATCAATCGAGCATTCAGATTGCCCCGTATGAGGCGTTGTATGGGAGGAGGTGTAGATCTCCTATTGGTTAGTTCGAGCCTGGTGAGGCTAGGCTATTGGGGACAGAGATGGTTCAGAATGCCTTAGAGAAGGTGAAGTTGATTTAGGAGAGGCTTCGTACAGCACAGTCGTGTCAGAAGAGTTATGCGGACCGGAAGGTTCGAGATGTGTCTTACATGGTTGGTGAGAAGGTTTTGCTGAAGGTTTTGCCCATGAAGGGTGTCATGCGGTTTGGAAAGAAGGGAAGCTGAGTCCGCGGTTTATTGGACCTTTTGAGGTACTTAGGAGGATTGGGGAGGTGGCCTATGAGCTTGCCTTGCCACCCAGCTTGTCGAGCGTGCATCCGGTATTCCATGTATCTATGCTTCGGAAGTATGTTGGGGACCCGTCTCATGTATTGGATTTCAGCACGGTTCAGTTGGATGATGATTTGACCTATGATGTGGAGCCAGTGGCTATTTTGGGTTGTCAGGTTCAAAAGTTGAGATCAAAGGATATAGCTTCAGTGAAAGTAGAGTGGAGAGGTCGGCCCGTGGGGGAGGCTACTTAGGAGACCGAGCGGGAGATGCGGAGCAGATATCCTCACCTATTTATGGCTCCAGGTATGTTTCTTGACCCGCTCGAGGACGAGCGTTTGTTTTAGTTGGGGAGGATGTGACGACCTGGCCCGTCGTCACGGGTGTTATAGCCCCGTTTCCCCCATATTTTGTTTCCTTATGCTTCATTATCAGTATTTGATGTGTTAGATTTGATTTGGATTGGTTCTAGAAGGAAATGAGACACTCAGTCTCTTTAAGGAAGGATTGTTTTGAAAAAGTCAACCGGACGTTGACTTGTGAGTTAGAGGGCTCGGATGTGATTTCCGGTGATTCGGTTAGCTTCGGGGGATGATTTGTGACTTAGGAGTGTGATCGGAATTTATTTTGGAGGTCCGGTGTAGAATTAGGCTTGAATTGGCGAAGTTAGTATTTTGGCGAATTCCGGTTGATAGGTGAGATTTTGATCCGAGAGTCGGAATGGAATTCCGAGAGTTGATGTAGCTTCGTTAGGTGATTTAGGATATGTGTGCAAAATTTGAGGTCATTCGGACGTGGTTTGGTCGGGTTTTTGATCGAAAGTGTATTTCGGAAGTTTTTAGAGAATTAGGCTTGAATTCGATGAGTTTTGGGTAATTTGATGTTGTTTGAGGTGCTTTGATGATTGGATCGAGGTTGAATAAGGTTTTAGGAAGTGTTGGTACAATTGGTTTGAAGTCCCGGGAATTCGAGTGAGTTCCGGGTATGTTCCGGGATGTTTTAGGCCAAAAAAATCATAGCTGTAGCAGGTCCAGAAGGGTTGCAGGCCTCGGAACTCGCCCACGCTGTCCGCACAAAAAGAAGTGCGCCCGCGGTGAGTGCTGTGCGGACCGCACAAAAGCGGACGCGGACGCGATAGGCGCCGCGCGGACCGCACAAAAAAGGGCGCGGCCGCGGTGAAGAACCTGCCCACTGGTCCTACTTCGGAAGCTCATATCTTTTGATCTACGAGGAATTTTTAGTTGGTTCAGAAACAAAAGTTGTAGCCCTTCGTGTCTAGTTTCCAGAAAGGTAAAGATATTGCAATTTGGATATCTGTAGCGAAAGTTATGACAAAAATACTGAAGACTACCACTGCAGTCAAAGTTGGCGCGGCCGCGTTCGTCTTAGCGCGGACCGCGGTCATTTTTGCGCGGCCGCGGAGGTGAAAATTTGGGGCTACTCTATAAATACGAGGTTTTGGGTTTTTTTTTTGATGTTTTGACCTAGAGAGCTCGGATTTTTGTGATTTTTCGAAGGTTTTTCAAGAAACTCATCAGGGTAAGTGATTCTAACTCACATTTGGCTAAAGTACATGAATCTGTCATTGAATTCATCATTTATTTCATGATTTGGGATGGAATTTGGGGAGAAAATTGGTGAAATCTTCCAAAATATAAAATGATGATTTGAATGACCAAATGGTATCGGAATTGGATAGTTTTGATATGTATAGACTCGTGGCGAGATGAGGAATCCATTGACGTGAATTTTATAATTTTTCGAGAAGTGGGCCCGGGGCTCGGGTTTTGCCAACTTCGTGATTTTTGATATTTTTCGAGTCTTTTCGATTGGGTTGTATCCCCTTAGCCTATTGTAATGTATTCCTTATGGTTTTGGGCAGATTCGACGCTCGAGGAGGTTGATTTGCGAGACAAGGGCATAGCGAGCTAGGATTTCGGCCTGCTTGAGGTGAGTAATGGTTATAAATGATGTTCTGAGGGTTTGAAACCCCGGATTCGCACAACGTGATGCTATGTTAAGATGAGACACACGCTGCATGATGAACGTGGGGTCTGATATTGTTGGGGATTCGGACCTGGTCCATCCCGATTGATGATTTTACCATATTTTAGACTGAGATTTACTTAATATCATTGTATTCTGGGCTAGTTGCCATGTTTGGGGCCTTGTGCCGATCTGTAGAACCCTTAGGGGTAGTTGTACTGGTTGACCTCACTTTACTCGTTAAAAATCATACCCTCAGTCATGTTCTTAACTGATAAACATAATATGAACCGACTTTCGAAATTGGTAACTCCTAATGAGAATAACTTGTGGGTTGGGAACCCTGTTTTAGCTGAGTGTGCCCGAGAGGCCATGTCTATAGTGACTGAGAGGGGTCGAGGACCCTATAGTGAGGGTATTTGATATATATCAGATCGAGCTGCACGTCGCAGCAGTATATATATTATATAGATCGGACTGCGCGCCGCAGTAGTATATAATATGGATCGGACTGCACGCCGCAGTAGTATATTATATGGATCGGACTGCACGCCGCAGTAGCATACTATATGGATCGGACTGCACGCCGCAGTGATATAGCGCTTGGGCTGTAGGAGCCCCTCCGGAGTCTGCACACCCCCAGTGAGCGCAGTCGACTATTATTATTGGATCGGGTTGCACGCTGCAGCAGTATATGTATATATATATGTGGATCGGGCTGCACGCCGCAGCAGTATTCAGTACGGATCGGGCTGCACGCCGCAGCGGTATAATCATACTATCGGTTATTGTCAGAAGTAAAAGAGTTGAGAACCGGTTTAAGAGGTGTTTACCTGACTTCTTCATTTACCTGCTATTTGATGTACTTACTGTTTTATGTAGAACTGCGTAGTGTTATTACGAGTTTTCTTCCCGTCAGTCATTATTTATTGCTATTACTCACTGAGTCGGAGTACTCACTTTACTCCCTGCACCATGTGTGCAGATACAGGTATCCCGGAGGCATAGTTGAGCTTTCAGCTGCTATTCAGATTTCACCGGAGTCATCGAGGTAGCTGCACGGCGTTCGCAGACTCGATTTCTTCCTCTATCCTCTTTACTTTCAGCACTTTAGACTATCTTTTGTATAGGTTGTTCCTCAGACTTGTGTAGAGGCTCTTGACTCGTGACACCAGATCGGTGGGATTTGTATTGATATTTTTTTTTCTTAGTTTCCACACTGTTATTATCTATTATTGCAGAGTTACACTGATGTTAATCGTCATTAAATCTTGTTAATTGGGTATAAACTTTATAAAAGGGATTGTGAGTGTCGGAATGGTCGGGCTTGCCTAGCATTGTGTTGGGCGCCATCACGATCGGGATTGGGGTTGTGACAGCAATCGGGATTCATAAAGATTTAATGCTTTTGTTAGATCAACACAAGGCCATTGCAAATGGAATTGCAAAGGTTTTCCCTGAGTGCTACCACGGTATTTGCATATCATTTAGAAAAGAATCGTGATGGCGTGCAATGAATTGCCACTTTTAACAATGATGAATTTCATACAAGAAAAATTGCAAAGCTGGTTTTATGAAAGAAGGACAACTGCACAAGGAATATTCCGCGAGTTATCAAATTGGGCAGAAGCAACATTGGAAGAAAAAATTAAACCAGCTTTTATATTTAGAGTATTGCCCATTGATCGACTCAAATTCAATGTCAAAGAAGGGGGTATGGAATTCATTGTTGATCTAGACAAAAGAACATGTGATTGTTCTGAATTTCAGCTAGATGAGATACCCTGTGAACATGCAATTGCTGCAATTGAAAGTATATATCAGAAGAAATCAGCCTTTTGCTCGACCTATTATTCAAGGGACTTTTGGTTGAAAACATATGAAGGGCAAGTAAATTCTGTAGGTGATTCAACAACATGGGTTATACCAGACACTATTAAATCAGTAATCACTAAGCCTCCAGATGCAAAAGTAATGCTAGGAAGAAGACAGAAGAATCGACATGTTTCCGGTACAGAATTCAAGAAGGAAACAAGATATGGTCGTTGCAAAAGATATGGGCATAACAGAACAAATTGCAAATTCTGCTGTAGTTCATCCTTATGCAAGAAAATACAGGAAAAAAATGATTGATTATATACAATAAGGATGCATTGGCTCATGTGAAAAAGTGATTGTAATCCCGAATAATTTGTTCGGTATTCTGCATTGTATATATTCAGTAAAAATTATGAGAGATTATACTTTCAAGTGATATATCTCCAGAATAATATGCAGGAAACAAACTTTTAAATTATTAATTCGAGCAAATTATACTATATACAAATTTTCCACTGTCTTACCCATCTCCATTATAATATACTGGCCTATATAGCTTAATAACTAGCTTTTCCAGCATAATTTACAGGAAGTAACTAAAATAATAACTCCAACAAGAGTTGCATCAGCAAACTTAGGGTAAAAGATCTTTATTGTGGACATCCAGTATAAAATACTGCACATTATATTTTCACATTATATATCTCCAGCAAAATATACTGGCCTATATAGCTTAATAACTAGCTTTTCCAGCATAATTTACAGGAAGCAACTAAAATAAGAACTCCAACAAGAGTTGCATGAGCAAACTTAGGGTAAAAAATCTGCATTGTGCACATCCAGTATAAAATACTGGAGTTTATAGTTTCACAATATGTACCTCCAGTAAAATATACAGGAAATAAAATTTTAAATTATTTAATTCCAGTAAGTTGTTCTAGATACCAATTTTGCACTATTTTACACTTCTCTCCAGTATAATATACTGGGTCATATAGCTTCCAGTAGTATATGCAGGATTGTTTGATTTTTTGACATATCTAACCGAAAAAATTTAGTCATTATTCAATTATTTCTTGAATTTCAAGAGGAAGTTTTCGACTGTTTCACACATCTCCATTATAATATACTAGCGTATATACCTTAATAAGTAACTTTTCCAGCATAATTTACAGGAAATAAGGAAAATAAGAACTCCAACAAGAGTTGCATCAGTTAAAATTATTAAATCTAACATATTATACTTAAAAACACACCATCGAAAATATAATTTTTCATCCTTACAACTTTATTTCAATTAATAAATTCGTCAAACTTAGGGTAAAAAATATGGATTGTGCACATCCAGCAAAATATACAGGAAACAAAGTTTTAAATTATTTAATTTCAGTAGTTGTTCCAGTACTATATGCGGGATTATTTTATTTTTTCACATATCTAATCATAAAAGTTTGGTCATTATTCACTTATTTCATGAATTTGAAGAGGAATAATTATTAAAAGTAAGGCAGATAAAGATTTAAACAAAAAGATATTATATTAATTGCCAACTTACATATAATTCCATAAAACCTAGTTCTAGATACTTCCAGTATAACCTACTGGAGTTTAAAGGATTATACACCAAAAAAGAACATAACTTAAAAAACTAATCATCCATATCGTCAGAGTCATAGGAACTATTTCCTCCCGACCCACCACAGCACCCATCTCGTGCAAGCCTCTCCAGCCTATCCAGCTTGTCCTTGATTCTTCTTAAATCTCTTTCATATTTCACTATGAACTCATCAAACTTCATCTCAATTGCTTCTATAATATCTTCTTTCATTTGATCAACTATGGTTTTGATCACGGCATCCATTTTTCGTTATTTTTTCTGTTTTGTGTATTAAAACTAGATGCATTTGAGTGAATAAATTGAGAAAAGATAGCCTAGTCATATAGCGGAAAAAAATTGCTACAGTGTATATGAAAAGACAGAAGGCAAATTGAACGTTAGGGGTAAAGATAAAGATTAATGAATCACAATTTAATAAAAAGAGTGAAAATATAATTATTACTATAACACAACTGCCAATGTAAAATATAAATTAATTTTAATGTTTGAAAATGCATCACAGACTACACCTAATAAAGTAATGCAATGTAGACGAAATAATAAAATATTATAGGAAACTATAATAGATTTACTTGCATGTAACGTCATAAAAATAGTTATTAAACCATAAAATACAAAGCAATGTGTATAATATTCCAGCAATTTATTTTGGATAAAAAATTTCCTTGTTTTTCACATTTTTTATTATATATATAGAACTCCAGTATAATATACATATATGAATCAAAATTAGACTCCAGTATAATGGATAAGTATAAATGCTCTAATTACTGTGACACAAATCCCAACATATAATATATTTTGTGATTTAAACTGCATAAAACACTGCACCCAATGGTTATGTAAAGTAATGGAATTCATAGGAAATGATGGAATATTATAGGTAATGATGAAATATTATAGGCAACTATACTAGAGTGACTTGTATGTCACATCATATTATAGCTATTACCTGATAAAATACTAATTGTTGTACTCTTGTCAAATATAACATACTGATTTATATCTCTTCATAATTAGAATTTCCAGGAACCAACCTATGAAATCAAACTTATTATGGATAAATAAATATACATGCATATGATATAACTGCAGCATTATATAGTTTATTTTACACATCCGAGTTTAAAATACTGGAGAAAATACTTGTATGTGATATAGTTGTAGCATAATATACAGGAACTAAAATTACACAAACAAACAAAAATTGGACTCCAGTATACTGAATAAGTATAATCCTGTTTGTAACGACCCGACCGGTCGTTTTGAGTTCGAGCGCTCCGTTTGGCAATCGGAGGCCGTGAACAACTTCATTTCAGGTATCATGACTTATACGCGTGATCGGAATTAAGTTCCGGAAAGTTCGGAGTTGATTTGGAAAGAGAATTCTCATTTTAGAAGCTTAAAGTTGAAAGAATAGACTAAGATTGGATTTTTGAGTATACAATCTCGGAATCAGGATCTGAAGGTTCCAGCAGGTTGGTATGATGATTTCGGACTTTGGCGTATGCCCGGTTCGGGTTTTGGATAACCCGGGAGCGTTTTAGGCGCCTATTGTGGAAGTTAGCATTTTAGAAGGAATTTCATAAGTTTGGCTTGAAGTGCATTTCAGTGTTATCGCTGTCCGTTTGGGGTTTCGAGACTGTGAATAGCTCCGTATGGTGATTGTGGAGTTGGGGGCACGGTCGGAAGTGAATTCGGAGGTCCATAGGTCATTTTGGAGCCATTTGGCTAAAGATAGAAATTTGAAGGTTTTTGGGAAGTTTGACCGGAGGTGGACTTTTTGATATTGGGGTCGGAATCCGATTTGAGGTTCGTAATGTCAAATATGACTTGTGCGCAAAATTTGAGGTCAATCGGACGTGATTTGATAGGTTTAAACATCGGAAATAGAAGTTTGAAGTTCTAAAGTTCATAAAGCTTGAATCAGGGTGTAATTCATGGTTTTAGCGTTGTTTGATATAATTTGAGGCCTCGAGCAGGTCCGTAATGTGTTTTGGGATTGGTTGGTAGGCTTGGTTGAGGTCCCGGGGGCCTCGGGTGGATTCCGGGTGGTTAACGGATCAAAAAATAGAATTTTTGAAGGGCAAAGGTTGCTGGTTGCTGGTATTTCTGCTTCTGCGGAAAAGGGACCGCAGAAGCGGAGCCGCAGAAACGGCCAGGAAGACCGCAGATGCGGATTTTGGTGAGGAAAGCTGGGACCGCAGATGCGGTCAGGGAGCCGCAGAAGCGGGACCGCACCTGCGGAAAAGGGAGCGCAGAAGCGGAAGCTGGGCGACTTGGGAAGGGGCCGCAAAAGCGGCGTTTTTACCGCATAAGCGGAGCCGCATAAGCGGAAACAATTCCGCAGAAGCGAAAGCACCTGGAGGCAGAAAGTTTTTTTTAAAATCGGGGTTGAAGTTCATTTCTCTCATTTCTTTAAGGCTTGGGCGATTTTTGGGGAGCTTCAAGAGGGGATTTTCGTCATCAATGTTAATGTAAGTTATCCCCACTTATTTTGAGTTGAACACATCAATTATGTATGGATTTGGGCATGAAAATTAGTATAAAAATTGACGTTTTGGTGGAAAACCTAGGAAATTATATTCATGGAAATTAGCCACGAAATTGAGCATGGAATTAGGAATAAATTGTATATTTGAGTTGATAAGGTCATGGGTAATCTTTATCTTCGAGAAATTTCGAATTTCCGGGCACGTGGGCCCAAGGGCATTTTTGTCAACTTTTCGTTCGGGGTTAGTGTGGCGACCCAAAGGGTCACCACTTATTTTCTTAGTCATTCCATGCTTCCGAGGCCTTGAAAACCTCACTTTTAGTTGCCTCGATTTTCGTGCATAGTCCGGGCGCGTAGCCGGAAAGTTTTTATGTTGAAATATATGAATTATGTGAAAAACTTGATGAATTTTGATATTAACATGATTAAAGTTGACTTTGGTCAACATTTTGGGTAAACGGACCCGGACTCGTGATTTGACGGTCTCGGAAGGTCCGTAGAAAAATATGGGACTTGGGCGTATGCCCGGAATTGAATTCCGAGGTCCCAGGCCTGAGAAATGAATTTTTCCGTGAAATTGTTTTCTGAGAATGTTTAAGGAAAATGAAAATGAAATTTGATCAAAACATAATGGTATCGGGCTCGTATTTTAGTTCCGACGCCCGGTACAGGTCATATATGTTGTTTAAGCGCTTCCTGTAAAGTTTGGTTCAAAACGGACGTCGTTTGACGTGTTTCGGCCTTAAATTGGAAAATTTGGAAGTTTATGAAATTTGAAAGATTTCTTGGATTTTAAGGCTCAATTCATTGATTTTGTTGTTATTTTGGCGATTTGATTGCTCGAGCAAGTTCGTATGATGTTTTTGAGTTAGTGTGCATATTTGGTTTGGAGCCCCGAGGGCTCGGGTGAGTTCCAGATAGGTATTGGGGTGGTTTTTGTCTTAGAAAAATTGCAGAAAATCTGCAGCAGGTATTCCTTCTTCGCGTTCGCGTCCCTCTGGTCGCATTCATGAAGGCTTCTCCTCCCCCTTCTTCGCGTTCGCGAGCCACTCCTCGCGTTCGTGTACAACAAATCCCGGACCCCAGCCATTTCCTCAACGCATTCGCGTGAAGGCTCCCGCGTTCGCGGAGCCTGGTCTGCCTCTTCTACGCGTTCGCGTAAGGCACCACGCGTTCGCGTAGGCCAATTGTGAAGCCCCAGAT